ACTCAGTTCTCAGTACTGGGTACTCACTACTCGCTACTGAAATCTCCCTACTCACCACTCACTACTCTCTACTCACTACCCACCAATCAATACTCACTACTAACTATTCACCTCTCACCACTCACTACTCACCACTCACCACTCACTAGTCCCTATTCCCTACTCACTACTCACTATTCACTACTGCCTACTCCCTACTCACTACTAAGTACTCACTACTCACTACCCACTACTTACTACTCTCTTCTCACTACTCCCTACTCCCTACTCACTTCTCACATCTCTTTACCCTACTCACTACTCACTACTAACTACCCACTACTCCTTAGCCGCTACTCACTACTCAATACTCACTACTGCCTACTCGCTTCTCGCTACTCTCTACGCGCTACTCCCTACTCGCTACTCACTTCTCACTGCCAACTACCCAGTCCTTACTACTCAACACTCACTACTCACTACTCATTATTCACTACTCACTGCTCACTACCCACTACTCACTACTAATTACTCACTACTCACTACTCTGTTCTCGCTACTCACTACTCACTACTCACTACGCTATACCCACTACCCATTACTCACTACTCACTACCCACTACTCATACTCACTGACCCCTACTCCCTACTCCCTAATCACCATTCACTACTCATTACTCATTACTCACTGCTCACTACTCATTACTCACTACTCGCTACTCAATATTCACTCATCACTACTCACTACTTACTCAGTGCTACTCACTAATCAATGTTCACTACTCACTACTCACTACTCCCAACTCCCTAATCAGTACTCACTACTCACTACTCACTACTCACTACTCATTGCGCACTACTCGCTACTTACTACTCACTACTGGGTACTCACTACTTACTCACTACTGCTCACTACTCACTACTCACTTCACACTACTCGCTACTCTCTGTTCACTATTCACTACTCACCACTCACTACTCACTATTCCCTACTCCATACTCTCTACCCACCTTCGCTGGCGCAGAATTTCTGGGGCTTCTCCCGCTGCTCCTTTAAGGAGCAGCGGGAGAGGCCCCCTCCCTGGCTTTCTGTCCGGCGCAAAGGGGGGGAGGGGGGGGGGTTGAACCCCCCCCCTTTCCAGCGCCAGGAAGGGGGGAGAGGAGGGGGGTCCGGACCCTACAAGGGACGGGGGGGGGGTCGGATCCCCCCCCCACCTTCAGGGAGGATGGGGGGGGTCGAAAATCTCAACCCCCTTTTGAAGGGGGGGGGTCCGAGTCCGAACGCCCCCCCTCTCTTTTCAATTACAGGGTCCTCCAGTGGCGCACTCTCGGTCATTACACATGTTTTGCGCGACCGAATGTTTTTTGTGCGTTGTCAATTCGATCTCTCTGCGCCCTCCTTTTTTACACGCAGGGTGTGCGAACTGGCTTTTCACATGGCGCTTTATAATGCGACCGTTTACCGTTTTTCCAAAATGGCGCTCTCGCTGCAGCGTGGGCCACGTTTTCGGATCTGCGCTGTGCTCCCGTTCTTCGGAATGGCGTTCCCGCCCCAGCATGAGATCCCACAGGTTCCACAGGTCTTTCAAACACATAAAGTCCCACAAGTCCCAGAAGTGTCGCAGGTCCCACAGGTCCGACCGTTCTGACAAGTTCCACAGGTCCCACACATTCATTCCACTTGTGTCGGAGATCTCACATGCCACACAAGCCCAACACCTCCGACAAACCTCACAAGTCCCGCAAGTCCCGCAGGTCCCGCCAGTGCCACGGTCCCCACAGGTCTCGCAGGTCTCGTCCCACACGTCGCACAAATTGCTTTTGTGTCGCAGGTCTCACAGGCCCTACAGACCACAAAGGTCCCTCAAGTCGCACAGATACTACAAGCTTCCCTCTTCCGACCGCGCATAACACGACGGGGTCTTGTGGAGTTCCAGGTCGGCTATGACACGCGTCCGCGGATGAACACAAATCTGCGCAGTGGGAATGGAAGGGATGGGAGGGAGGGATAGGCAGGATGTCGGACATGGCGCAAGCTCACTTAGCTTGGCCTTGCTTGCCTTCCACCCTTGTCCTTCCTCCTCATTTCTCCTCCTCTCCTCCTGCTCCTCCCCCTCCTCTTGATTGAGAAACTTCGGCCCCCGCCCCCAAATCAACGATGCACTACCGAAATCGGCGTTGGCAGTGCTGGTATATTGTTGGCAAGGTGAGGCTTGTGCCGAACAGGAAGCACTTTGGATTGGGGTGGCCTGGAGCGAATCAAGGACGAAAGATGAGAGCTGAGAGGCGGGCGAGAGAGGAAAGCAAAAGCAGCGGTAGACGAGAGAATCAGGGAGAAGAGAGGGAACAAAGAGGATGGAGGGGGAAACGGGCCAACAACGGAAGACCCAGGATGCGTAGTACGGGGCAAACAATTCGTGGTACGAAACCAGGAACTTCAAAAAACCGGGACTCTTGCAAAAAACACCCCGTAGTACTGATACTGGACGAACTCCTCCTCCTCCTCCTCCTCCTGCCCATCCTCGCCTCCTCCCTTATTTACTCCTGCAATTCCTCCTGGTCCTCCCCTTTCCTCGTTCTTCTCCACCCCATCCTCGCCTCCTCTCCTCCTTCCTCGTCCAATTCCTCCTGCTCCTTCCCCCCTCCTCGTCGTCCTCTTCCCCATCCTCGCCTCCTCCCCACCTTCCTCTTTCAATTCCTCCTGAGTCTCCCCCCCTCTTCCTCCACACCCCCCGCCTCCGCCCCCTTCTCCTGCTCATGCAAGCGGGCTGGCTCGCGCTTCGCCCACCACAGCTCGGCCAACCGCGCGACGAAGATGCCGAGCGCCCCGTCGCCCTCCCGCCCTCCCCCCCCCTCCCGCCCCGATCCTGGATCCTCCCCCCCTGGCGGCGCGCACGAGAAGGCAATCTCGGGGACCATACCCTGGTCAGCAGGTCTTGCAGGATCCTGCACGACGCTGCACCCAAGCCCGGGTCAGTGCAACTTTGGCCCTGCAGGATCCTGCAAGATCCGGCGCTCTGGCTGACCCCCGTTTGCAATGACCCCTGTCTCTTGAGCCTCGACAGACGACCCCCTCTTCCGCCCGGGTCCTCTCTGCCAAGAAGCGCAGCGTCTCCCGCCTCCTTGGCCGCCTGCCCCGCCGCCGGCGGCGCCGCGGCGGCGCGGCGGGCGCGCATCGGCTCCCCCATGATGGCGCCCATGCCCTGCCACGGCCGCCGCCGTCGCCGTGGTGGTGGTTCGTCGTCGTCGTCGTCGTCGCCGTCGTCGTCGTAGTGGTAGCGGTAGCGGTAGTGGCAGTGATAGTGGTAGTGGTCGTGGTCATCGTCCTGATCGCCGTCGTCGTGAGGGAACGAAGAGGGGGAATATGAGGAGGAGGAGGAGGAGGAGGAGGAGGAGGAGGGGGAGGAGGAGGAGGAGGAGGAGGAGAAGAAGGAAGAGCAGGAGGAACGGGAGGAGCACGGGCACCAGGGAAGGCAGAGGGGGGGAGAAGGGGTGCGGCAACGACGAGGAAAGAATCGGATCCAGAAATATGGCCCGCGTTTTGGCCAGAGTGCTTTTCTCAACTGCAGGAACATAATGCCGATTCTGCAACGTGGCCAACGCTGCAGCGGGATCCGCCGCTCCAAGGATCAGCGCTCTGCATAGGTTCACTCGCGCCCGAACCTGCCGACACAGTCTGCCTGTTCTTTGTTGTTTCAACCCCAACGTGTTTTCCTGCAGGGACTGGGGCGGAGACTGCCTGCAGAATATTTACCCCGCCAAAGTTAGGCGGGGAGACAAGGCCACGAGCAGGAACCTGCAAGTGGAAAAGCAGCGCGGGCCGCCAGTCCTCGACTCACAAGAGGACGGGCGACCATCAGCCAGGATGCTGGGCTGCAACGGTGTCGGGGCTAGGAGCCTGAGCTTCAGTCCGCAGCAACACCTCAAAAGACGGGAGACCGACGGGGCGAGGAGCCCCCGTACCCCCGAGAAAATAGACGCCTCCTCGAGCGTCGCGCATACCGCGATGGCGGGGAGCCAGTACGCGGGACGAACGCGCGCACACACGAAACACACGGAAGAGGAGGAGGGCCTCGGCGTTGGGGCCAGAGGCTACCCGCCTGGCCACAGCAAACGCCGCCGAGCGACTGTCAGTGCAAGACCTACCCCCGTGCTCGCTGAAGGAAGGACCCCCAGTAAGTGCGCGCAACTTCCCCCAGAGCGGGGTGCCTGACACACGAGCTAACGAACACCAAACGAATAAGGAAGGCACACACAAGGACGACGAGGCCTGCCCCAGGTGCTGCTGCGCCTGGACGACAACCCTCGCCCCAGATGTAAAGCCGAGGCATAAACGAAATTGGAAGCCGAAGGGCTATCGTAACGGAAAAAGTCGACCACCCACACAAGGACGACGAGGTCCCCGACCCCTGGTGCAGAGAGCGCCAGGACGGCTGGTGGCCTCGCCCCAGATGTGGGGTAAAGCACGGATGCCTGCCACACGGGTCAGTCGCATCGGCCGTGCTTGGAACAGGAAAGAAATAAGATAAAGTCACACTAACAAATTAATCAGAGCTGTCAGACTGATCCTGGCGCCTCCTAGCCAAGAGAGTGGGATTGACCCGTCGCAGCTCTTGATGGGCGTCGCGCTTCTGCAGAGCTACAAGAAGCTCCGAGGCCAAATCCTGAAGGTGAGCCTCCTCCTCGGAGTCAGTGTCCTGCGGGGGCCCCGCGGGAGCAAGGAGGTGCCTGTAGGGGCCTCGGGGCAGACTGGCCAATTCCGAGCTGGAGATCGGGCAATCGACGCCGACGGAGGGTCTTTTGGGGCGGCGCCCCTTGGAGACCTCCGACCACGCCCTCCTCCCAAAGAGCGAAGGGCGAGACGGGCAGTTGACCAGCAAGCCTAAATCTCCCGTGAGAAGAGTAGGATTTGCAAGAGGTGCACAGAATTAAAATAGCCCCATCAGAACATTCCAAGCCGATGCAGGAGTGCCCTAAACTACTGATCCGTTGAAGGGGCAGCTCCCTCGTGCCCGGGCGGTCCTCCAGGGGGGGCTTCCGAGGCCAGGGGCAAAGTCGCACTTTGAGGCAAAGCAGGCACTTCCAACAAGTTCCAAAGTGACGCCAGAAGTGCAACGCTTTGCCAGCTCTCACTGGCATAAAAGGGCGGACGTACTCTACTTCTCCGTACTCCCGAAGCGGAGCGAAGAGGGGGAGAAGGTGCATCGCCAAGGTACAGTAAACTCTAGCGAAATTTATGTCGGTGGTGAGCGATTCCTCGAGCTTCAAATCGGATGGGTGCCTAGCCAGGGCGGCCTTGGCCAAAGCATCGGCCTGGTCATTCCCTGCCCCCCAGAAACGAAGCTGCGGGGAGATCGAAACATCGTCGACCGATTGGTGGGATCTGACATGCGAAACTCGCGAAACATGCTTAAACCCAGGCTCAGCCCCAGCTTGCAACAGATGTCCTGAATACACGCCTTTATCACTGAGTTGCCTGGATCGGTCGGCCCCAAAAAGTTTAACAACATTCTCGCAGTCAGAAACTATAGACGAGGGACCCGAAATCAAGTGGACCCCCGCCAAGAAAGCGCAGAACACACCAGCCTGGGGCGTCTGAGGAAGGTGGGCCCAGACGGGCCCCGAGGCGGTGGCAAGCAGTTGCTGGTCGGGACTGTACAAAGCGACTCCCCAGGAGGCTCTGGACAGCTCCTTGATAACTCTTCTCGAACACGAACCGACAACGAAAATCACACCATCAAACAAACAACTCCGACGAAGAAACGAAATCGAACAGAGAATCTAGGAGCTCCTGGCCCACCAGCTCGGAACGAAGAGCTTGCAACTTTGGACGCATCCACAGGCGGTGGAAAATTGAGTCGCAGGGGCAGGTGGTCAACTAGGCTGGGTGGCCCTTGCTGCCCCAGAGATGACAGCGGTGTGGATGCTGGTGGAACCGGGGCGCGCCCTAAGTTACGGCGCCGGGGGCAGTCGCGCACGAGTTGTTTTTTCTGAGTCGCACTCGCGCACTTGAGTCGCACCCAGTCGGGATGCATAGGCTTGCCTTGACGGTCCCGACCGTTGCCACTGGTCCTGAACGCCCCTTTCCCCTCACCCTTGCCCTTCCCGAAGCCGGTGAATACCTCCCGGAGGTCGTTCTCGGGCGAGTCGGCCAGGAAGGCTCTCTAGCACTCGCCGTGGCCATTGCCTGTCCTCTCGATGACCCTCCAGACGCGGCGCCTGAGCTTGTGGTTGCTGAAGCGTCACCATCGTGCTTTGGCGCGCCCGCAAGCCCAGAACAGATGTGCGCCACGCTGCTCCATAGAAAAATCGGGTAGCTCGGAGTCGTCGGCGGCCTCGCCGCATGAGCTTGTGGTGTCAGGGCTGGTGCCAGTGGTAGCTGCTGGGAATGCCTCCTGCGCTGGTGGTGCTGGCGCAGGTGGGCTCGGTGAAGGTGACGCACGCTGCCGTTGCCGCCTCCGGTGTCCATGCAGGTTGGGAAGCTTGCCAACAGAGCATGCCCACTCCGATGACCTTCCATGCGGAACGGATGTCCCTTCAAAGATCGGAGAAGCGCTGGAGGCCAGGGGCCCTGCGACGGCCTCGCTCTGACCACGAGCCTCGGAGCAGTCGTAGGTCCCTGCCCCGAACGTGTTCCTCTTCGTCAACGCATTGAATATTGCCTTCTATCGTGTCCTCACGGCTATCTTCGCACTCGGTGCACTTCGCAACATAATTGCGTTCGTGCCGTGCCCTCCGCGCGTCGTGTCGTCACTACACAGAAGACCGCTAACTTCACGACCGTCCAGAGGAGTGCGCATCTCATTATGCCAGCCTGCAGAGAATCGGCGAGCGCGCTGAGCTGTCAAATGCCAAGAGAACGTAAACAAGTAATCCAAGGCCTGCTGCGCTGTTCCGTGGAGGTATGACATCACAGGTGCCCAACACCCCACCGCATTCTCCCTCATATTTTCGTTATTATCCGCCTGCGGTTCCTGGGGCGTTCGCAACGCCGTTGCGGGGCGCTCGGGGCCATGGGCCGACGCTGATGAGAACTGGTCCCTATTAACAGCGTGAGGTCCGAGGGGCCCCGACGGCGACTCCAACGCAGTTGGCGTACGCCCCGGCGGCGGGTGGGCGCCGCTCCCCTTGTAGATCATGGAGTCGTTCTTGTACACGTAGTTGTCCTGGCTGTACGTCTTAGGATACATGAGGATCATGCATACATATGGCATGGTGGTTCAAGGGGTGAACCTTGCCGAGCACGAAGTAGGTGATGGGGTAGTGGCAGGAGAGCCAAAGACTGGCGGAGAAACCGCGCGGGCCATGGCGGCGGGAAAAATGCAGGTGGTAGACGGGAGCCGGAGCTCCGCTATACGCACTATGAATACGGATGTTTTGTTCGCGGAGGCGAATGAACACGGTAAACGGACACGCGGCTACCACGGGCACGGAAGCTGGCCACTCTGAGCCCAACGGCCGTGCCAAACAATTTTGTCTGACACACTTCGGCTACGAACGGTAAGCAAAAACCAGGGATGGATAGGATGCATATCGTTCGACTACGACGAGGAGGAGGAGGAAGAAGAGGAGGAGGAGGGGGAGGAGGATGATGATGATGAGGAACGCAACAGCCTTGATGCTCATGATGTTGGCCTGACGTCAAGAAAGGACGAGGAGGACGAGGAGGAGAAGGAGGATCAGACGGAGGGGCGAGGAGGAGGAAAAGTAGGAGGGCGAGGGAGGAGGGAGGAGGGATAGAGGGAGAGGGGAGACGAGGCGAGATGCGGGAGAGGAAGCCGAGGCCAAAGGCGGCTTCGCACGCCCAGCCGCGCGGGCGGCTCCTTCCCCAGCTCGATCAGGCGGTGCCACTTGTCGCTGTGGCTCGCCAGCGCCTGCAGGTCGCCCACCAGGACCAGGCCGGCCACCGCCCGCGAGATGGAGACGTTGAGGCGCTTGGGGTTGCTGAGGAAGCCGATCGGGCGGCGGGAGCCTCCCTCGCCTGGGAGGGCACCGGCCAAGGATCGCCACAAACAAGGTTTTCCGCTTCCGCGTGTGGATTTCGCTTTCCCTCGTCTTGTCTTCAGTCATCCTCTGCTGCAGCGTGGGATTGGCACGAAAACGGCCCACGAAGTCGCCAAAACACCGTTTACAGGTCGACCCCTGGGCTGGACACCTCTGCGCTTCAATCCTTGTCACGCCGACCCTGGGCCGAGGATCGTTCGGTGGCAACTCATGGGAGCCTCCCGTACCATCTTGTCGGCTCTTGCGAATCGACGCTAAATCGACGCGAAATCGACGCTAAATCGGCGCTGTATCATCAACTCCCAGGCGCCGATCGACGCCGGTCGACGCTACAGACAGAATTGCGAGGGCACACGAGGCTCCCACGATTTGCCACTGAAGCCGTTTACAGGTGCGCAAAAATGGAGGTGGAACTGCATGCTTACCCTGCCACTGGGGCCTTCGGCGGAGCACCCTATGTGGCCACGTAGGAGGAGGAAGGGGAGGAGGAAGGAAGGAGGGAGGGAAGGGCGGGAGGGAACGCGGGGACCGTCTCTTCAAAACGAGGACCCCACACCACAAGACGGTTGGGGAAAAACTGCCCCCCCAAACTCTTCTCCTCCCTCGTCTTTGCATCTTCGGGGAGCCGTTTACAGGTCGATAAATAGAGCTGGACACCTCTGCGCCAGTCCTTGCCAAGCCGACCCCACCGGGCCGAGAATCGGCGCACGCGCCGCCGGGGCCTGGGCAGGAAGGCCAGCACGCCGCTCCCGGCCACCCCTGGCTCTGGGTCCGCCTCGCAGTGGGGGCCCGGCCACAGGGCACCCTCCACGAGAAGCCCTACCCCGAGACCCCAGGACGTCCAGTGGTTTCTGGTGTGGAAGCGTCACGCTCCCTGTCGCAAGGCCGTCGAAGCCCAAGAAGCCCAGGCACTCTGGAGGCAAGCAGGGTGTTTCTTGGCATGGGCCTCCACTGTACCCTTTCAGATCTTCCGACTTGCAATTGTGTCTGAGGCGCATCCCAGACGACGGGGAAACGTGGGGCGACAACTTCCGCCTGAGAGAAAGAAACTGAACATTTCCGACTCGCTTGCGTTGAGCATCCCAACTTTGTGGAGCATTCCGCACCTTTGCGGAACGTTCCGCAACTTCTTTGCGAAAGTAAAATGGACATCCACAACATTAGGGCAGAAACAGCGACGAAAAAATGGGGCGAACATCGGCATCAAAGGAGCTTGAAAAATGGGGCAGACATCTCCTGCCCTTACTTACGAGATCGCCTCAAACACACTGCGGCTCTGGAGCCAGGGCCAGGCCCAAGACCAGTGCAGGTCTACCCGGACCTCCGATGCCCTGATATTCTTAATGCGGAGGGGCATCGATAAGGGGGGACTGCAAAAGGGGGGAACCATCGACCTGGAATCGGCGATACATCGCCGACAGATCGGCTGCGGGCGCCCGATAGCCAATGCGCACGTTTCTGGGCGGGGTGGGGCTATCAGACCCCTCTCGGCGATCAATGGGCGATTGGGGGTCGATGCATTCCCCCCTGTGCATATCCCCCCCCCTATTGCTGCCCCTGAATTACAAGATCCCTGGCGCTCTGGACCACTTCTCTGGGAAAATTTTCGCCGCGGATAATTTCTTTCCGGCCATGGGGCCTAAAAAAAGCCCCCAAACGCCAAAACGACGAAACACTTCTGTCTTGACCTGGGTGGACCACAAGGTACTGCTACCAACACTCCCCGGACCTGTCCCAAGGTGCGTTCGGACCAAAATTCCGAAGCGACTCCGGCGGTGGCGACGAGGGCCTCTCCAGAGGCCCAAGAATGCGAAAACAGGGCAATGGTAGCGATAGCGGTGCCTTTCCTCCTCTGAAAATCGGAGCGTATGGTTGTTGCCCTCCGATCGCCGTCGCCGCGCGACGACCGGACAGTGGTCAGGATCACCACGCGGCGCTCCTGACCCTGAAAGTGCTCAACCGTGCCGCACTCCACGCCCGCGAACGCGGGGCCCAACGTCCCGATCTGCCGCTCCATCGCCTGGCAGAGGACGACCACGATAGGCGGGGAGGGGAGGGGAGGGATGCGCCAGATCAGGTTCGCAAACAATGTTTTTGTTCGGTACCTAAAGCTCTCCTATTGCAAGACAATTGTTGACATCGTTGTCAAATGCACGTGAGCTCATGGTCGGCGGCTTCCGCTGATAATCATCGCCGGAGATAAAAAAAAAACAATTGTGGGGAGGCGGGCCTGGGGGAGGAGAGGGAGAGGAGAGGAGGCAAGGGAGAGGAGGGCCTGGGGGAGAGAGGAAATTGTGAGAATCCCATAGCCCTTGGGTGTTTCTACTCAGCATACGAGGATCGCATCTGCAATTGGTACTTTCCTTTCCCCACCGATAATGAAGTTCGGCATCGCCGCTCCTTCAACTCTCAAGGGATAACGGGTGATACTTTATTATCCGGGGTCTTGGTTACTTCGCTGTCGCTGTTTCTGCCATGCGTTGCGGGAATCCAGCCAGCCCCCTGGGCCCTGGGCGAGGTGGTTTGGGGAGTCTCCTCTTCCAATCCCCCTTCTTCCCCTTTCGGGGAAGGGCTTACGGGTTTATCACTGTTCCTTGTGGATGTACACCCAGTCGCCCACCCGACCAGCGACCACCTTGGGAACATAACAACCGCCCCGCCATCCTTGCCAGGACCAATACAAAATGCATTTCGCACCAAAACCTGACCATGCGCTGACGCCCCGCGATCAATTGCATTGGTTTTTGGCGGAGACGGCGGGGGTGCCGGCATGTTGCCTGTTGGGTGCGCTGCCAACACCCCCACCTACAAGTGCCCCTTGCAACAACATCTGGATCATGCGCGGACGCCCCGGGACCACTCTGCAGCACTTTGGGGCAGGGACGGCGGCGGGGCCGCCATACCGCTTGCTGTGCTTCGTGGGCGGGCATATTGCCTGCTGCGCGCAAGCCCACAATCCGTTTGAACAGAACACACATCACAAATTCACTTTGCCAGGGGCGGTTGGGGGGGGGCGGCATATTGCCTGCTGCGCGCTGAAATTATTGCGGGCACACACCCACACACGATGCACAATACTCACACGCCCGCCGTCACCTGGTGCGCGTGGCGCACCTGGTGCGCGTGGCGCACCTGGCACGTGCGGCGCACCTCCCGGGCATGTCTGCATTGGTTCCCGATGGTTGTCGATGGCGGCTCTTGCCTGTGCTGAGACTCGGGCACTACTTATGTAGTGGGAGGGCGGGTGAGAGTGAGCGACACGGCTTGCGGCTCGAGGTAGCTTGACCCATGCTCCCACTATCCATGTCAAACAACACATACAATGCAGTATTTGGGGCAGCATCTTGGATCATACTCGTGGGCCCCGCGACCACTTTGCATGGTTGTTTGACCAGGACAGCGGGGGTGCCAGAATATTGCCTGCTGTGCGCAGGACCACTATTCCTGTCAAACAGCAATACGAAAGGCACTTCGCGGCAAATTCTGGATCATGCGCGGCCACCCCGCGATCACTGTCCATTGGTTTTTTAACCAGGGATGGCGGGGGTACTGGAATATTGCCTGCTGTATGCGAGCCCACCAAACACCATCATGGCCACCCCGCCGCGATTGCGCATTGAGATTCGACAAGAATGGTGGGTGCCTGCCTGTTTCCCTATGTGTGCTGTTACGTGTGCGGGCGCACCTGACACACTGCGCGCGTGCCACGAACGTGGCGCACTTGGCGCGGCTTGAGCATGCAGCACATATGGCGCACGTGGAGCAAGGGGCGCAACTGGCGCACCAGGCGTGCTTGGCACGCTTGGACGGGTGCCTGGCGCACCAGGCGCGCGTGGTGCGCCTGGCACGCGTGGCGCACCTCGCCCCAGCGTCGCGCAAATGCGGCCTGTTTTGGTTCCCAGTAGCTGCCCATCCAAAAAGGACCACTGAAAATGCTGAGGCTCGGGTGCTACTTCTGTGCTGGGAGGGCGGGCGGGAGTGAGCGAGACGGTTTCTTTGGGGGGGGTCTTGATCACTGCCCCCATATTGAGAAACACCCCCTCCCCCAAGGCGACCAGCAACCAACCAGGACCAATGAGAGCACCCCCCCACCATCCCTGGTACAGAAACCGAACATGCAGCTTGCCTGCAAATTTGGAGTGTGCGCGGGCGCCCCGCGACCACTTTGCATTTGTGGTTGACAAGGCCGGCGATCGCACCGCATACGGTATCGCTTGCTGCGCGCGGGCCCACCACCCCTGTGAACAAGCAGTGCAAGATACACTTCGGCCCAAAGTCTGGAGCATGCGCAGGGCCTTTTTTTCCTCTGAGCTCTCATCTGTTTCACGACTCCTCAAGATGCCACCAGTTGTCCATCGGTGTCGGTGCTTTGCGCTCCCTGGAGGAGCCGCCCTTCTCCCAGAATGCTCGGCACTTCGCTTCAGGGGCAGTGGACATCCTGATATCCTTGGGCCCAGGTCCCCAGGCAAGTGGGGTCCCTATTAATTCCCAATAGCTGGCGCACCTGGCGCGGCTGTAGCACGTGGCACAGTTGGCGCACGTGGAGCATGCGCCGCACTTGGCAAGCTTTGGCTTCCAAAGTGCCTGGTGCACACCTGGAACCCTGCGCCAGTCATGTGTGGCGTTGCCAGGCGATCTGCTGAATCTCGGGTGTTCCTTATGTGCTGGGAGGGCGGGTGGGAGTGAGCTAGACGGCCTACTATCTAAGAGGGTAGCTTGACCCTCCCCTTATCCCGTCCCCTGGGTCTGGAGTTGGGGTCGCAGGTCGCTGGAGCGTCCAAGATGGCTCCAAGAGGGCCTCACACAGCCCTGCATGGTTTCCAATATGCTGAAGGTAGCACAAGATTGTTCAAGAAAGCTTCCAAGATGCTCCTAGGCCGTCTCAAGACGGGTCCAAGATGCCACAGAGCCTCCTAACGAAACCACCAAGAAGCCAACATCCTTAAACAATTATTCATTGCGTGGAGCTCCCCACATGGGCATCTCTTTGCAATGGCATTTCCGCCGTGAATGCCTAGGCGCAAAACAATTCGAATATAAACGACCTCGGATAGGAATTACCATGTCCATGGAGTGGCAAAGTAATAAAGCGCGCGCTTCCGCTGAGTACTATGTCCAGAGTAGCAGTCCCTTCATGCCGTTCGATATAAGTTGACTCGCAATAACTTCGAATGTCAGGCCAAATCTCTAGGAGAGACTCACAATAATGACAAACTACGATTAATAATAATACTAACACGAATAATCATGATACTAGTACTAATACTACGCATGAAACACACATGATTCGTATCATGGGAACAAAAATAAAACATGGTGGCTTCTTCCTCATCCTCTTCTTCCTTCTCCTGCTCCTCCTCCTCTTGCTCTTCCTCTTCCTCCTCCTCCTCCTCCTCCTCCTCCTCCTCCTCTTGCTCCTCCTCCTCCACCACCACGGCCAGCTTCTCTAAGCGAGCTAGCAGAGGCGTAACGCTGGCGGCCTGCGCTAGAGCACGGGCCTCTCGCGCTGGCGGCCTGTGCTGGGTACTCACGGCTTCCGTTCGCGCCCAGCTATCGGGGATGTCTCAGGCGGTGTGCCTGCTTCGGTGCCTGACATCCTTCGCCTTCGGAGCAGAGCTGGGGATGTCCTAAGCGGTGTGTCTGTTTTGGTGGCCAGATCCGTCTGCACTCAGAGCAGATTCTGAGGATGTCTCGAGCGGATTGCTGGATGTAGCTCCCCAAAGGGGCCGCCAGCGGCGTAGCCTCGACTCGATACCAGTCGCACGGCCTCCGTGCGCGCTTACATTGCGGCCATGACTCAGGCGGCCTGTTGGATTTAGCTCCCCACGGGGGCCCCCAGCGGCGTAACCTCGAATCGATACCAATCGCACGGCTTCCGTTGCGCGCCCATGGTTGTCGGTGGGGGGCAGATTCTGTGGATGTTCCGTCCTTCCGTGTCTTCCTCCTCTTTCTCCTCCGTCCTCTTCCTCCTTCTGATCATTCTGCTTCTCGTCCTCCCTCTGCTTCTCGTCCTCCTTGTCCTCCTCCTCCTCCTCCTTCTCCTCTTCCTCCTCCTCCTCCTCCTCCTCTTCCTTCCTTCTCCTCCTCCTCCTCCTCCTCCTCCTCCTCCTCCTCCTCCGCCTCCTTCGATTGCGAAGATGTTTCGAACGGCTGCCTGTCTCGGATGAAATGTTTGTTCCAACACTTCTACGGGTATCTCACTCGTCCGTTGGGCACCGCTGCCTGCCGCCGTGCTCCTCGTCAGCTCGTCAGCGGCTCCTGGTGGCCACCTCTCAGATGGGAGAACCGCGGGCCCCACCTGGGTGGCCACCCTGGAAGAGCCAAAACGAGAATTGAAGAGTGTCGCTCGTGGGTAATAAGATGCTTCCGCTTTGAACAAAATCTGTACATGAGGCACATCATGATAAATCCAGCCCTCACGAGGAAGAGAAGGAATACGCCCGCGAAAGAAGCCGCTGGTGCGAGGAGGAACATGCCCGCGAAAGAAACCGCTGCTGCGAGGTCCGAGCTCTCGACGTTTTCCCTGCCAGTCAGTTCTGGCGCGCTGTCGAAGCTCTTGACCCCGTCCCTGAGGAGCCTTCCAACCCCTCCCTCCTCCCCTGGAGGGCCTCCGTTATATACTGTGTAACTTTGTTGTTGTATTGTTGTTGCCTGCTTGTTTATTTGCATCGACATCGCATTAGTTTACTGTGTAGTCTGATGTGGAGGTTGGAGTGGGAAAGCCTCCACTAGGCCCCAGGAGGCCACAAGCCCCGTAAAAGTCCCCAATAAGCCTCCAGGAGGCCCCAAGAGGCCACATGGGAGACCGAAGAGGCCTCAATAAGCCTGAAGCGCACAAGAATCCCCAAGAAGCCTCCGGGAGGCCCAAAGAGGCCTCGTGAGAAACCCAAGAAACCCCAATATGCCACAAGCCCCCACAGTGTCCCCACAAACCTCCAGGAGGCCCCAAGAGGCCACATGAGAGCCCCAAGCGGCCCCAAGAGGCCTCAAGCCCACAAGATTCCCTAAGAAGCCTCC